CAGTCTGGGCGACACAGTGAGACTCCAACTCAAAAAAAAAAAAGAGAGAGAAAGTCTCAAGCTATGAGAGTGACACAGATTCACATCCTGTGTCAGGAGTGGAGCTCACTGGACACGGTCATGCCGGCGCATGTGTGTCAGCCGCGGCTGCCCCTGTGCCAGGCAGGCAGGGCAAGGCGTCTGGGCAGCCCCACGGGGCACGTGGTCTGGGACGTCCGCCCCCAGACCTCTACGGGATGCGCTCGCCAGCCCGCGTGTCGCCCCTCCCACCCCGTCCCTGGAGAGCTCAGCCCTGCGTGGCGTGAGGCTCTCACGCCCCCTCTCCCCCTGTTCTCCCAGCCAGCGGCATCCTCAAGGGCTTCGACCCGCTGCTCAACCTGGTGCTGGACGGGACCATCGAGTACATGCGAGGTGAGCGCCAGGCACGGTGTCGCCATCTCCTCGCCTCTCCTGGGCCCGGCTGGGGCCCCAGCACCTTGTGGGCCGGGGGGCTGGAGGCGCTGGAGAGGCCTCGTCTCAGGGCTGGGGTGAGGAGGGCTTCTGCCGCCGCTCCCTGGTCTCCGGCGCTGACAGGGACTGACATGTCATCCTGGGACCTTAGGAGGCCGAGGCTGGAGGATCTGCCGTGGCAGGGAGGTCAGGGCAGAGCCAGCCGCGCAGGGGCTCTGGATTCCGCACCGGGCCCCTCGGCCTCCCCTCCCAGCCCCGCGGGACACAGTGACCAGGGCTGCCCTTGCTGCAGCCGCCTCCCGGCCTCACCCAGACCCAGGTGGCCTCCGTCCTCTGGGCCTGCTGTTCCTGCTGCTCAGGGCTGCTGTGGTCCCGGCGGCCTGGGGCGTCTCGCGGAAGGCCTGCGGTCGCTCACCCCCAGGGGCTCCTGCCCAGCGGGATGCCGGGGGATGGGCGCCGGGCTCCGCCGCCCTCAGCCTCCGCTGCCTCCTAGATCCCGACGACCAGTACAAGCTGACGGAGGACACGCGGCAGCTGGGCCTCGTGGTGTGCCGGGGCACGTCGGTGGTGCTCATCTGCCCCCAGGACGGCATGGAGGCCATCCCCAACCCCTTCATCCAGCAGCAGGACGCCTAGGAGGCCGGGCTCCCTCCGGCACTGGACGTCCGGGGCGGGGTGGGCCGTGCGGTCTCTGGGCCGGGAGCTGCCCCCGGAGAGGAACGGCTCTCTGTGTACAGGTGGATTTTCGTTTTCTTAATAAAATCGCAAGCCTCAAGCGTCCCAGCCTTGACCCGGGAAGCCTGGGCCTCGGGGATCTGGCTCGGCTGCCGACGGTGGTCGAGCTCCTCGAGCTCTGGCCGTGGCCTCTGCTGGGGCGGGGGAGGATAGGCGTGACCCAGGCCAGGCAGGGCGGCGGGGCGGGGCTTTGGCCCCACAGCGGGCTTTGCAGAGCCCCCGGCTGCCCGCGCCTCCGGGATCCCCCAAGAGGCGGGGGCGGGGACGTGTTGGAAGGCCAGACCCCAGCAGCCCGCTCCCGCTCACGCCTGGCCCCTCGCTGCCTCCTCCACTCAGGTGCTGGGCCGGTCACCCAGGGCCAGCCCTGGGGCACTTCCCCACTTAATCACGCCCTGTGGCTGGGCGTGGTGGCTCAGCCTGTCATCCCAGCACTTTGGGAGACCAAGACGAGAGGATGGCCTGAGCTCGCGGGTTCGAGACCAGCCCAGGCAGCTGGGACGAGACCTCGTCTCTACAATACATCAAAAAATTAGCCAGGCATGGTGGCACGTGCCTCCTGTAGTCCCAGCTACTTGGAAGGCTGAGGCAGAAGCATCACCAGAGCCCATTGTGTTGACGCTGGGGTGGCCGTGAGCGTGCCACTGCATTCCAGCCTGAGTGATGGAGTGAGACACCAAAAAAAAAATCATGTTCTGGCTCAGTGCGGCTATTCACACCTGTCATCCCAGCACTTGGGGAGGCTGAGGCAGGAGGATTGCTTGGGTCTGAGAGTTCAAGACCAGCCTGGGCAACGTAATGAGACTCCATCTCTTTTTTTTTTTTTTTTAAAGTGTGTTCTGACCAGCTGGAACAACGTGCCCTGGCTTCTTGCCTGGCCCACTTTCCACACGGGTACAGCCCTGTTCCCTCAGCACCATCCTGACTGTCTCGGCACCCCCTACCCGCACTGGGACCCTCCTCTGCGGGACTCCGTTTCCACGCAACGGGCCTGTCTGATTCACCACTCGAGGGGAGGGGCCGAGAGAGGGCCGGTGTCCTTGTGACCCCCTCCAGGGGCAGGAGCCGCGGGTGGGCCACCCACCCGTCACCCCCTGGGGAAGCAGGCGGGGCTGGTGCAGCGGGGCAGAGGGCTCTCACGCCCCGTCCCGATCCCTCTGAAAACCTGACACCACCGGCTTCCCGGCTTATCAGGGCATCTGGGTCCAGGGACCAGCTTTGCAGCCCCGGGCAGCATTAGCCCCACAGCTGGGGCATCGGGGCATTAGTCATCAGTCTCCTCCCACCCTGGCCCGGCTGCCATCTGGCCCAGCCCTGCCTCCAGCAACCTTGTCAGAGGCCTCGTCCCAAGCTCCAGCCTGGAGCCTGCGCTGGGGAAGGGGGCTCCCAGCCTCCAGAGCTCGGGCACACCTGGCACGTGATATTCTGCTCACCGTGCCTCGCTGTTGGGGAGCAGTGCCCCCTGCACCCATTTGACCCTGGGGAACAGGGCTCAGCGGGGAGATCAGACAGCAGAGACGGCAAGAACCCGGATACCAGAACCAGGTGCCCAAAACCCACACTGTTCACCAGCCTGCCCTGTCTGAGGCCAGACAAAGGCCGAATCCAGCCGGGCGTGGTGGCTCAGCCTGTCATCCCAGCACTTTGGGAGGCCGAGGCAAGAGGATTGCCTGAGCCCAGGGGTTTGAGACCAGCCTGAGCAATTTGGTGGGACCCCGTCTCTACAATAAGTCAAAAAATAAGCCAGACGCGGTGGTACGTGCCTGTAGTTGTGGCTACTTGGAAGGCTGAGGGGGAAGGATCACCTGAGCCCAGCGGGTCAAGGCTGCGGTGGCCATGAGCGAGCCACTGCACTCTCACCTGGGCGACAGGGTGAGACTCTGACTCAAGACAAAATAAAAAGGCCGAAACCCAGTCAGGCACAGTGGCTCATGCCTGTGATCTCAGCACTTTGGGAGGCAGAGGCAGGAGGATCGCGTAAGGCCAGGAGTTTGAGACCTGTTTGGACAACGTAGCCAGACCCCATCTCGACCAGAAACGACACGTTTGCCGGGCGTGGTGGTGGTGCCTGTGGTCCCAGCCAGTCGGGAGGCTGAGGTGGGAGGATCAGCTGAGCCCAAGAGGCCCAGGCCGAAGTGAGCTGTGATAGCGGGGCCGCACTACAGCCCGGGTGACGTGAGACCCTGTCTCTAAAGCAAAAAATAGAAACAACCTCACTCACCAAGAGGGGCCTCACAGCTTCCACCCTTGCCCTTGGGATGCCGTCCTGGGGCAGCCATGACATGAGGAAGCTGGACCAGCCCAGCCTCAGCCAGCACCAGCTGCCCACGCCACGGGAGGGTCAGAGACCGCCCCCCAGCGAGGCGGCCCTGTGGGTGTCTGAGGCCTCATCAGTAGCCCAAGGGAGACCAGTAAGGGGACTTCACGCCAACCTACAGAACCATGGGGAATAAATTGTTTGGGGGATGTTTGTTACACAGCGTTAAGGCACAGAAACTTCCTGACACGGGTCTGTGGCAAAATGCAGAGTGAAAGTGCAAGTGTACCATAATAATCTAGACAACCTAACACCATCTATTTGAGATAATTATGGGCCGGGCTCGGTGGCTCAGCCTGTCATCCTGCGCTTTGGGAGGCCGAGGTGAGTGGATTGCCTGAGCCCGCAGGTTCGAGACCCGCCTGGGCTACTTGGTTAGATCTCATCTCCACAATAAATCAAAAATTAGCCGGGCATGGTAGCACGGGCCTGTGGTTCCGGCTACTCGGAAGGCTGAGGCGGAAGGATCGCCGGAGCCCAGCGGGTCGAGGCTGTGGTGGCCGGGAGCGGCCACTGCACTCCAGTCTGGGCGACAGAGTGAGACTCCAACTCAAAAAAAAAAAACCCCAGCACTTTGGGAGGCCGAGGTGGGAAGATCCCTTGAAACCAGGAGTTCAAGACCAGCCTGGGGAAACTAGAACCCATTTCTACAAAAAATAAAATAAAAATGAGCCAAGTGTGGTGCTTGTAGTCCCAGCTACTCGGGAGGCTGAGGCGGGAGGATGGCTGGAGTCCGGAGGCCGAGGCCGCCGTGAGCTGTGACCTCGCCCCCGCACTCCAGCCTGGGCCCGGAGTGAGTGAGACCCCAACTCGAGAGGAAGATCTGGAAGGATCTGTGCTGACCTGGGATGGCAGAGGGTGGCCATCGCGTCTCACTGTTTGGAAAGGTGAAATTTAAGATCACGTCGACAATGTCCTACTTTGCCAAGAGGCAGAGAAGATTTAAGCCCGCGGCTGCCGGGGAGACAGATCCAGAGCGACAAGGGGAGGCAGGGATCGGCGGAGGTGGAGGGACGCCCGAGACGGAAATGGGGACACGTGGTGGCCGCAATGCCGGATCCTGGCCCGCGCCCTATAAATCCCCAGCCCCGAGGGACCTGCCCGCCGTGCCGTCCCCGGGCCGCCCGCTGACCCCGGCGCGGGTGCCACCCT